AATAATAATAATAATACAGTGGCGCCTTGCTTAACGATTACCTTGTTAAACGACAAATACGCTCAACGATGAGGTTTTGTGATTGCTTTTGCGCTCGCAAAACGATGTTTCAATGGGCAATTTTCGTTTGACGATGATTGGTTCCCTGCTCCGGGAACCGATTCTTCGCATTACGACGATCTAAAAACAGCTGATCGTCAAGTTTCAAAATGGCTCCCCGCTGTGATTAGGATGGATTTTTCGCTGTACAGGCACTGGAAAATGGCCGCCCTATGGAGGATCTTCGCTGGACGATTAGGTATTTAGCCCATTGGAACGCATTGAGCGTTTTTCAATCTGTTTCAATGGGTTTTCCCCCCGCTTGATGACGATTTCGCTCTAATGATTTTGCTGGAACGAATTAATGTCATCAAGCGAGGCACCATTGTAATTTCTTGCCCAACCTTAAGCTAGACCTAGCTAGGCCTCATTCCTGAAATGCCATGGCTGTTCTTCTTTACTGCCTGCTCTCTAGCTCGCTTGAAGGGAATAGGAGCCATCCTGTTTTTAGAAAAAAAACTGCTCGCCATATTCCACCCATGGGACCATTTCCTCACTCTCACACAGAATCATCTCATTTCCTTTTCAGGGCTCAGCCAGGCGGACGCACGCTACCCAACCCCAGTACCTACCCAGTACATTGCTGCTTTTTCCTTCATGGCGTCAGTGAAGGAGACGGCAAACCTAGAAGCCATTCGAAAAAAAGAGGGACTTGGTTCATCAATGCTCAAAAAGCCGCCCTTTCCCGTCAAGGCTTACCGGAGGTTCGGGGTGGGGAAAGAAGGGCATTTTGGACTACAACCCCCAGCATCCCCACCAGAGATGCTGGCGAATATCCAGGGACTCACCATCCAAAATTATCCTTCCCATGCATTTTAGCTGGGAGATAAGTGAAACCTGGCAATTCTCGTAATACCTGGTGAAAATACTTTTTTTTCTGGATTTTTTAATTGATCCAGGGACTCACCACTATTATCCACAGTTTTCAGCATACCTGGGAAGGGGGGGGGAGGGACTTGGAACCAATCCCCTGCAGATAGGGGGATCCTACCATATATATAAGAGCAACAACCTATATGATGGGCTCCTTGTCCACTGATGGGTAGAAATGAAATTGTATTCCGAGCAGTTTTTAAGAAGGCCGTAAAAGGGGAGAGGGGAGAATGACCGCTCTACCTGGCTTCGTCCAGGACGGCCGCCATCACTTGGCTTTTCTCTTCACTCTTGACATCTTCGTTGATGTCGGTCCCTCCGAAGAGGATGCCGAAAGGAACGCCACTGCCTGCAAGACACCACGGTTCAAAAGCCAGAGGTCCATCTTCTGAATCTTCACCGAATTGTTTCCTTTAGAGCAGCGGTCCCCAACCTTGGGCTTCCAGATGTTCTTGGACTACAACTCCCAGAAGCCTTCACCACCACTTTTGCTAGCCAGGATTTCTGGGAGTTGAAGTCCAAGAACATCTGGAGGCCCAAGGTTGAGGACCACTGCTTTAGAGGTCTATTGACAGCCTTTGGGACTCAGGAACGTTTGCAACCGCTTCCAAAAGGCGGCGGTCTTACGCCATGGGAGTCCACGGCGTCGGATGCACTAGGGCTTACTTCTGAGTAAGCAGAAGAGAATGTGACGCCCCCCCTCTCCTTCTCCTGGCTCTACCCACCTAGGCCAGCTGTCCTCCCAGCCACAACCCTTGGAGGTAGACCCACAAGACCGAGGTGGACAACTCCAGTTTTCATCCACCGACTTGATGCAGGAAACAAGGTTTCATGTTTTTGCTGTGAACACCTGCCTACCAAGGAAGAGTACAAGACCCATAAAAGGAAGGAATGCTTGAATCTCGTCTCCGCTGCAGGGGTAGGATTTTTCAATTTCTCGGACACCCTATCCCATCATTCCCCATTCTCAGAGTTGAGCCTGATTTACAGACACTTCACTGTGGCTCGCCTGGGTTTTGCGAAAACAATGGTTTAAATTGGGATTTTTCGTTTAACGATGATCACTTCCCTGCTTCGGGAACCGATTTTCGCTTTAAGACGATCAGCAAAGAGCTGATCATCAGGTATCAAAATGGCTGCCGGCTGAAGAAAATGGCCCCCCGCAGTTTTCTAGGACGGATTCCTCGCTTTACAGGCACCGAAAATGGCAGCCGTATGGAAGATCTTCACTGGACAAGCAGGTATTCAGCCCATTGGAATGCATTGAACGGTTTTCAATGCGTTTCAATGGGTTTTTTAATTTCGTTTGACGGTGTTTTCGCTCTACAGCGATTTTGCTGGAACGAATTAACATCATCAAGCGAGGCACCACTGTATCTCTCTCTCTCTTTTTCCCACACCTCCTCTTGTCAAACCTGTTCCATTTTTGTGGCTCCACCTGTGTACACTGTGCAGGGCAATCCGCTTTGCCACACCGCTGCCTCTTACAGCAATACTCAACTTGCGATTGACCCTGCTTTCCCGGGCCCTCGTCAGGCCGCTGAGACAATAAATGCGACGCTCAATTCTTTTAAGCATGCGAAGTATGGGTGTGCATTGGGGAGAAAGCAATCACCAGGACAGTTGTACACCTCATTGAACTAACAAACAGCAGCCGTGATGGCCGGTAATTAGTTACACGACTACTTTTAAATTCTGGACGAAAGGGTTTGCTTGTTAAAAATAAATCAGGTAACTGTCACACGCCCTGTAGGGGTGGCAGGAGGCGCTCGTGAAACTGAGAGCCGTGTGACAAGGTTACTTTGACACGGCCAGGATAATACCTTCTCTACAAACACACTCACAAGCTACGGTCGCTCACTGACCCAGGAGAGAAAAAGGAAAGGATGTCTTCGCCTTCAGGTTACATTTAAACTGGGGAACTCCCTGCCACAACATCTCATCACGGCTTCCCAACCTGGATAGCTTTAAATCAGACCAAATAAATTCAGAGATGTTAGGGCTTTCCAGGGGCTACACATCAACTCTTGCAATGTGCTGTGGGATCACACCTTTACTAGCCCTCTGTTCAAACAACCTTCCCCCTACCAAGCATCCTGTGGGACCATGGCATCTATCATCCCCAACCCACAGGGTGACCGCAATGAGTGGGGATGATGGGCATTGCAGTATCAAAACGCTGGAGATTCCTGCTTTTGGAACTTTTTTGAGCCAATTGTTTGAGGCAGTTTCTTACATATGACTGGTCTTTGCATTTCATTGCCATCTTCTTCCTTACTTCTCCTCATCTCTCCCCTCCATCCCTCCCTCCCTTCTCCTCATCCCTTCCTTCCTTCTCCACATCCCTCCCCCCCTCCCTCCCTTCTCCTCATCCCTTTCCTTCCTTCCTTCCTTCCTTCTCCTCATCCCTCCCTCCTTCCCTCCTCCCTTCTCCTCATCCCTT